CCTAACCCTAACCCTAACCCTAACCCTAACCCAAGACCTAACCCTAACCCTAACCCTAACCCTAACCCTAACCCTAACCCTAACCCTAACCCTAACCCTAACCCTAACCCTAACCTAACCCTAACCCTAACCCTAACCTAACCAAAAAAAACCCTTTGCAAACCCTAACCCTAACCCTAACCTAACCCTAACCCTAACCCTAACCTAACCCTAACCATTCATTAGCCAGAACAACCTATCACTTGGCAAAGTAAATGAATGTTGGAAAATATAATACAAGAAAAACAGTTTAGTCTTCAAACAATATTATTTAATAATTTTCAAATTAACAATCCTTTAATCTTTAGCCATAAAATTAAATTAACCATACTTTCTTCATAATACAACATATGTATCACACTTCATTCATTTACACTCACTTATTTTATTTACTTTCAATTAATTAACCAATTCCTTTACACATACTTAATTCATCAACTAGCCATAAATAATAATACAATTCATACTTTTATTTTTTTCACTTCTTCAATTTTGAATTTTTACTTTTATTTAAACTTTTATTGTTATTCCAATCCTGGTTGCTACTATTTACCCAACTTATTTTATTTTATTCTATATCACTTTTCTCATTTTTTAGGTCTGCAATTTTTGTTTTTTCTGTCTTTGCTGTTTTTCCAAACTGCCAGTATATATATCCCCTCAATTTACTGTTATTTATTCCTTACACTTTGATTCAAGGCCACAGATGCTTTCTTTAATAACTTGTTAATTTAAAAAGTGTTAAACTATTTTGGTTTCTTATTTAAATTTTTAATTATTTTTCAATTTAATTCCAAAATTTACCTCACAAGAATCTTTATCAACAAACAAATAAATAAATCAAAAATCTGGAGAGAAACTTCTTATTAAGATTCTCAAACCTCTCTTTCATGCAGCTTAGTAGACCCTGAAGAGTCCCAGGTTTAAAAATTTAGTAGAGAGGGGGACGAAACCACGGTAGGTCAAGTAGGTAGGGAAAAAAATTTAAGAAAAAAATTTTTGAAAATTTTTTGAAAAAATTTTTTCTGTTGGAAATTGTTTTAAATGTCGATTTTGGTGTATTTTTTCTTTGACTGCTTCCCAAAATCAACTGGGACTCTTGAAATGTGAGAATCCTGTTTCTCTTTTTTGATTTAGTCAAAAAAAACCCTTTGCAAACCCTAACCCTAACCCTAACCCTAACCCACTTTTGGGATTACCAGTCTGTACTGATTGTGCTAATCCCTAACCCCAAGACCTAACCTAACCAAATAAAAACAGTAGGCATTTTTATTCATTTTTCCAATCCATTCATTAGCCAAAATAACCTATAACATGGATCAACTAAATGAATGTTGGATAAAAACTTAGTAAAAAACATAATACTAATATATACTTCAACCAAGGTACAATGTTTTGCAATTTTTTGTATACTAATCTCTACCATCTCATAAACTCTCTCAAAAAACCCAAAGAAACTCCTACATTACCATCATAAAATATTATTTATTGAAGTTTTTCTTTTTATTTTTTACTCTTAAGATTAAATTTTACTTTTAGGTTTCTATCCTATGAACCTTTCTCTTTTTAATCCTTCACTATATTTTACATGCACCTCCAATTTCTCATCTTTATTTTAATTTGTATTTTTATTCTTTTTATTTTTATTGGTATTTTTATTTTTTATTTAATCTTCACTTTTATGGGTACAAGGGTTTCTTATAATTTATCATATTTTTTAACAGTCTCCTCACTGTCTCTATTTTCTATTTTATTCTTCTCTTCCAACCTTTAGTATTCTTAGTAATCATATAATCTTATTAACATGTTTGGAATCTTTATCAACAAATTATACACCAACAATCTAGAGAGAACTCCTTTTACAAGAATTCTCAAACCTCGAAAAGTTTTTCGAAAATTAAAGTATACAGGCCCTGAAGAGCCCCAGATCCAAAAAATGGGAGGGGGGCGAAACCATGGTAGATCGAGTAGGTAGGAAATTATACAAAATATTTTTTGAAAATTTTTTGAAAAGGATTTTTTCTATTGGAAAGTGTTTTAAATGTTGATTTTGGTGTATTTTTTCTTTGACTGCTTCCCAAAATCAACTGGGACTCTTGAAATGTGAGAATCCTGTTTCTCTTTTTTGATTTAGTCAAAAAAAACCCTTTGCAAACCCCAACAAGTAAAGAGAATGTGGAATGAGAAGAACTAATACATAAGCCTTAATCAATGACTAAAAAACAAAACTTTTTCCATAAGATTGATTTTTTTCAATTCAAAATTAAAATTTTTGACTTTAGCTTTCAAAATTTTTTGTTTCACTTTTAAAAAGATAAAGATTCTTATACATGTGTCTGTTAACTAATATAACATTATTAGTAAATTGCTTGAGTTTGTTTTGTTGATAATTAGTTGTTGTTGAAACCAAATGATGAAATTTGGAAATATTACTGAAAATATGTTGTTAATGTCTTTATGATGCTGAATCTGAATTTTCTGATGGTTAAGGTTTGATCTGAATTTTGGTCTTAATTTTGGTCTTAATTTTGTTATTAACTTTTGTGTTAATTTTGGTATTAACTTTGGTATTAACTAGGTTTTAATAAGGTGTAAAAATGATTAGTATTATGTATACCTTTTGTAAGATGTATAAATGTTTGCTGATTTTATAGTTTTTTTCAAAATTTTTTTCAAATCTTTTGTAATTCTAAAAATTACAAAATTTCTCTCAGTTATAAATTTGTTAAGACCCTTTAAAAAGCTCAAATATCTAACCCTTGATTCTTATGCAAAAATCAGAAAATAATTATTTTTCTTCAATTTCCCATATAAACTTCACAATAATTTACATCAAAACATTCCACAAATTTTAAAATTACACTGAACCCAACAACTCACATATTTTTTCCAATCCATTCATTAGCCAAAATCAATCTTATATCCTTGAACTAACTAAATGAATGTTGGAAAAAAGCTCATACATAAAAATAGTTTTTTAACTTCTACCACATGCAATTGCAAGTATATTCATACCACTCAAATAACAAACATCAATCTATCATCTATAAATAATGATGATTTTTACAATTTGCACTAACTTTTTTTCTTCAACACCCTCAACATTTCTCCTCCATACTTCATATTAGCTACATTAACACTATTTCCAATCCATTCATTAGCCCATAACAAACTATCAGGGACCCATAAATGAATGTTGGAAAAGAGACTTTTTACAAACAAGAATACTAAACACTACAGGTTCCTTCCATTCTTAAATCAAACAAACCAAAAGCAAAATTCAAAAAAAGAATGAGGAATCCTAACATCTTCCCTAATACTTATATTATTCTTTACAAACAATATATAGGTATATAAATAGTAATTATCCAAATTTCCTGTCCAATCCATTCATTAGCCAAAACAACTAATCACTGGGCAATCTAAATGAATGTTGGAAAATAAAACACAATACAGGGAAAACAGGCTAGCTTTCAAACTTTATTATTTCAAAATATTCCTAAGAATAATATTTAACTCACTCATTACACTTCTAAGTAGTTCTGATATAAAACAAAAATTGAAGAATGGACTGGTTCTCAAATCAAAAATACTCCCATTAAGAGAATCTTAACAAACACAACCTCATCAACAATGCAAACAGAGAAACCCAGCTCGATTTTTGACTAGATACGATAGATAATTGCCAGAATCATCATTATTTTATTCTCTAAAGTGTTTATAAAGAAAGCAATGAGGGTATGGAGAAGGACATAGTAGTTCCTCTTTTCCTCTGTATGATAATTACAACGGTGTTTAAAGGTGTTGTTTTACACTTTTCCTAAAATCAATGTTTATGTATATTTGAAATCACTTTAATTGTCACTTCTTTGTTATTACTTAAGATGGTTGTCAATTCTCTAAAAGATAATTTCAATAAACGTTAGAAGTTCAAATAAAACAATAATGGAATAAAAAATCAAAGTGAATAAATTATTCATTGAAATTGAAAATCAGCAGGGATATAATGGGATGCATTTAACCAGTTAAGTAGAAAATTAACTGAGAAAATATTATTCTTCTAACAATAGCTTTCACTATCTATTATGTATGATTGAGTAAAAGAAGCGGATGACTATTTGATGTGAATCATGTGACACAACATGGAAAAGCGATTTATTTATTCAAAGAATTTTCTACCATTCAAAATTAAAATTTGTTATAATTATATAATTACTGGTTAAAAAATGTTGGTTATTATGCTTGACATATTTATACCTAAGTCTTGCATTACATTGATATTCTAAGATATAAAATACATGAATATGATAAAGATAAAAATGAATTTTACTTTTTACTTTTATTGTGTAACAAGGTATAGCAGGTACTGCTAATCATTTATGATGTTTCCCCTCTTGAATGACAGTTTTATTAATTGGTTAATAATTCGAATTCTGCTTTGTTTGAATAGCATAAAGTACAGTTGTTATATTAAGCATTTTGAGATAATGTCGAAGATAACACAAAATGTGAAAAACATTAGTCCTGAAAAAATCTCTCCAATATGGAGATGTCTTTTTGTTCTCTCTCTGGAGTAGAATAAACGAATTTACGTAAACATTCAATGAAAAAAATTACAGTTTGAAATATTCCGATGTAAATTGTAAAAAACATATATAAAGAGTATTTAGTGTATTGTAAAGTGGTGGCAAACTGTTTGGAAATCTGGTATGAAGGGGATAAGTTATAATCTAAAGAAACGAAGTAAAAAAAAATACTGTGTTTGCTTTGGCATAGAAAGAAATAAGAAAAAATACAAAACAGATTTTACTTTATATCAATTCCTCTTATTTTGTCATAGTCAAGAATCTTTTGGATACCACTCTACAGTTGGAGTTGGATTTGGTTTAAAACAAAATTTGTTCAAAGCATATGCAGTGTCCCTAGTGAAATTGTTTTTATTTTGTAATATTTCAAATAGCAATGAATTCACTGGAAGAGCTTTCAATGTGGCTTATACGCAAAAACTTGTGTTTGATGAGTAGAGTTTGTAAGAGTTACGCCGATCGTCTACCACCTCGTATCAGTGAGAAAATCTGGGAATACTGTTGCGAGGATAATATACCATTTTCGGAAGATGAATTGGAATTTTTTTCAAGTAACTATCTACGATTAACAGAAGTTTCATTGAAAAGAAGAAAGTTTTTGAAAATTAAAAATTTAAATTTTCTACAAAATCATCGAATTAAGAAGTTGTCTCTATTCAAATTTCAATCACTTGAATGCTTATGTATAGATGAAAACATTAATAATCTTGAGCTGCATAATTGTACATTTACCAGTGATGGTTATGCTCATTTAGGAAATTCTTTAATGAACTGTGCCTGTTTAAAATCATTCATGTTAACTTGTGCAACAGGTTTGTCTGATGAATATTTACATATTTGCAAAGGGTTAGAAACTACCGCTTCCTCATTACAAAAAATTGATTTTTCATCTTGTAATCTATCCTTTAAGCAGGGCGTTTGGTTAAGTGATTTATTGAAGAAATGTAACAGTCTACAAGATATTAATTTGAGTTGTAATGATAGCTTTGCGGATGGATTTAAAGACATTTGCGATGGATTAAAATGTTCGTCCTCTAGTCTATTGACAATTCAAGTTGCTAATTGTGGGTTAAATGGAAAGCAAACTAGCTGGCTAGGAGATTTGTTAACTGAATGCACCAAGTTGAAAAAGTTTAATCTAAGCGGCAATTGTAGTTTTGAGAACAACTTTGAAAAGATATGCAATGGATTGAAATCCTCCTCCTCCTCACTACTAGTCATTGAAGTTTGCGATTGCAATTTGAGTGATTTATCAGAGGAGGATGGGCTTCAACTTGGTAATTTGTTGAAAGACTGCACCAGTCTACAAGAAATTGATTTAAAATGCAATCAGTTCTTTGACAATGCATTTGAGAACATATGCATTGGATTGAAATCGTCGTCGTCCTCTCTATTGACAATTCAACTGGGCGATTGCGATTTGGACGAAAAACAGTGCAGTTTTCTAAGCGAGCTGCTGGCGGCCTGTACTCATCTGCAAGAAATTGATTTGACTGAGAATTTCGGTGTAGGAGATGTGTGTAAGAGAATCTGCAATGGACTACAATCTTCAGCCTCTTCTCTGACAGTAATTAACGTTTGGTGTAGTAATTTACCCAACAATCAAGGCGTTCACTTGGGTAACTTGTTGAAGAGATGTACAAAACTACGTGAAATTGACTTAACTTTGAATGAAAATTTGGATGAAGCTTTTGAGGGAATATTTAATGGGTTGAAATCGTCATCTTCCACCTTAAGAGTAATTAAAGTTGAAAGCTGCCAGCTAAATTGGCGACATTGCGATTGGTTAAGTGAATTGTTAACTGAATGCAATCAATTGCAAGAAATTAATTTGAGTGATAACGATAACTTACAAGGAGGATTTGAAAAGATTTGTAATTCGTTAAAATTCTCATCTTCCTCTCTATTATCAATCTCTCTCTCCAATTGCAATTTATATCGCGATCAATGCGTTTGGTTGAGTAGCCTATTGGCGAAATGTAACCAGTTGAGGGATATCGATTTGAGTTGGAATTCGGGCTTTCCCGGTGGTTTTGAGAGAATATTTCACGGACTGAGGGGTTCTTCCTATGTTTTGTTACGAATTAACGTTGCCGATTGTCAATTGTCGGATAAGCAAGGTCATTCACTTTATTCACTATTAAAACAGTGTCCACAAATTGAAGAAGTCGACTTGACCGATAATAAATGTGTTCAGAGTGTCTACGAAAAAATGACTAAAGAATTGAATACACTGTCTGCTTCATCTCTCCTAAGCATTGCCTACAATTCAACTACAGCAGGCACAGAATAAAGTCATGTGTGTGCGTGCGTGTGTGTTGCCTATTCTGAACAGCCATGTTGCTGTTTCAGGCGGAAGGGGCGGATGGTGTTTTCTCTTCTCAGCCTATTTCATATCTAACATACGAGTTATTAACGACATCGATTTGTAACATATTATAAATGTTCATAAAATAGACATTGTATATAATTCATAAGTCAATCTAACTAAGTAGAAGGACAACTATGATAAATAGGCGAGTATACATTATTTATAGTGTAGAAGGGGAATTAACAAGGAAATAAAGGAACGACTAGAGGCTCTTCGGAATAGGTAACAAAGTAAGCGTACCTGCGCTGCAATAAATATGAATTCTTCGGGAGCAGGTTTCCGTTTCGCCGACGATTTAAACGCATACGAATCCGTCATCTTAAAAGTTGTTATCTACTGCGAATTAAATTGCGGACTATTGTTGACGAGTCTAGTTGTATACGCCTTTATTAGATTTTCGGCAATAAGAGAATCGTTTGGATATTTCATCCTTTTCCTATCAATCAATCATTTATTATTAATATTTTGCTATTCTTCTATACACATCTATTTCGATATTGGTAATTCGATTTCAAGCGAAGTGAATCCAGCTTTTTGTATATTAATAATGCTCATACCTGGCTTAGCAAATATTCAATCTCAAATGAATTTCTTAGGTATATTCATCAGCAGATATTTATACATTCGTTATCCTTTCAAATACAACTACTATTGTAACTCAAAACTCAGAATCCTTTTACCATTTCTATTGAATCTGTTCTCTGTTATTATCTCAGTGATTCCATTATACAATCCAAAGGGGGATGAGGTCCTCTGTTATGGTAAAGTTTCAACGCAAATTGGTCGTTTGTACGCTTTTCTATTCTTTTGTTTTGCGCCAATAATATTCAGTTTAATATTTCATTATCTCATATTGAAAATAGCTGGAAAACATGCTAAATCGATGGAAAGTCAAATGAATAGGGTTCAATCCGTATCCAAAACGTCGAAAGTCATTCTTATAGAATTAATTCTGGTTGGACTATTGTGGGTACTCTACGTATTCTTTTTGAAGTTAGCGACCTCAGATGTTCAAGCCATGTCTTATAAATATATACTACTGATGGAGGTGATTATCATTTCTCCAACCATATTCAATTCGGTTATTATGCTTTCGAGTAGTTCACATGTCAAACAACTATTGAGGAACTGTTGTTGTGGTAAAAGTGTTAAGATATCGCCGCTAGATCATTACAATGGGAGAATTAACTAGGATTTTAGCCAAACAACGAATTTATTGACTATTCATAATCTCAGCTCAAGAAATACTCATAGTTACCCTTTGCATTTCACCTATGGTCGATATTTACAAACTTTTGAGCGGTAAATGCAATACACTCTGTACATTTTGTTTGTTTGTTTCTTATACCGATTTTGCACTGTACGTAGAATAATGATGTTTGATGAGTAAAAGGTTTTATATAAACAAACAATTCATTTGGCTAAGTGAAAATATTTTTTCATAAATTATTCAATAGAGTCGACTTTTTCTATACAAGAAAGACAAACATCGCTTTCATCATTAATTTGGTCGGAAAACAGTACCAGTTTTCCCATATTGAAAATCCGTCCTTTTCTTTGTATATGTTTTCGTTGGATGGAGTAGAAGAGGAAGGAAGAGCGATTTGGGAAACTGTTAATTGTAGAAGAATTGCGTTTTATCAGTTGTCGGACTCTGTTCTCAGACAAGCATAAATGAACCAATCAAGAACGGGCTTTAATTTTGTAAACGACCTAAACGATTTTGAAAAAGTTCTATTTAGTATTTTGGTCTATAGCGAATTAACTTGTGGATTATTTCTATCTAGTTTGGTTATCTATTATTTTATAAGGTTTTCCCCAATTAGAGAATCGTTCGGCTATTTTATCTTCTTTTCAACAATTAACCAATTGTTGTTGATAGCATGGTTTTACTTTATACACATCTATTGGGACGCAAAATTCTCTCTAAATTCGGCGTTCGCTTGCGTATTAACATTAACTGTTCCCAGCCTAACCAACATTCAATCTCAAATCAACTTTTTAGGCCTGTTTGTGAGTAGATATATCCGTATTCGTTACCCTTTCAAATTAAACATAATCCTAAAAGATTCACCAAAAGTGGCAGCAATATTTTCATCTTTGAATTGCAATAGTAGTTGGTCTCTAGTGCAAGTGTATAGGCCTGTTGGAGATGGCGCACTCTGCTATGGTTTTGTTTCGATAAGCAAAATTCGTTTGTACTTTATCCTATTCCTCTCTTTTGCTCCAGTACTACCGAGTTTAATTCTTCATTGTCTCATATTGAGAATAGCTAGAAAGCATGTAAAATCAATGGAACACCAAACGAACAGAGTTCAATCGATATCGAAATCGTCTAAAATTATATTTATCGGTTTAATAGTTGTTTGTCTATTATGGATAATGTATTTAGTTCTTTTTCAGTTAATATCTTCAAATCTGGGCAAAATGTCCTACAAGTATTCTATGCTGATGGAATACATACTCGTCTCTACAACTATATTTAATCCAATCATCATATTGTCAAGCAATTCGAGCTCAAAGCAAAAGCTAACAAATGTTTGTAGATGCAAAGCAAAGATTCAACCGGCAGAGACAATTTCCTTCCCTAATAACGATTGCTATCAGTTGAACTGACGGACAAACACAGCGTGCATTACTACACGTAACGATTTCCGGTTTTGTTTAAAAGCGTCTAGTGGGAAAATCCTATTTATTTAAGGTACTAATGAAGATATACATTTGCTGTGTATACTTTATTTATACTGATTCATTATAAATATATGGAATTGTTGATAAGGAGCAAATGGATAATTAGAAGGAGTAAAACAATACGAGACCGTTGCAGAAGAGAAAGTGACGAATATGAACTTTTCAAAACTTGGCTTTGCGTTTGTAAACGATTTAAATGAATTTGAAAAGATTACCCTTGGAATTATTGTCAATGGGGCGCTGTCTTGTGGATTATTGTTGACATGTCTAATTATATATTTCTTTGCCAGATCTTGTGAACTGAGAGATTCTTTTGGTTTTCAACAATCAACAATTTGCTGTAGAAAAATTGCTCTTTTATAAGATTGAAAATTGATTATCAGATAAAAAAAATTGAATGTTGTTATTGTTTAATGACTACAAAAAAATTGATAGTAGGGTCATAAAAAGTTAAAAGTATTGAACAGGTTTTAATTACGGTAGAAAGAAGTTTCAAAGGTTCACTTCACTCAAAACTTAACGTATGAAAGGGTGACGCGAAAGAAAGAGGGAGAAATTGTGTAACCTAACTATTGCCCCATCTCTTAGTAACCGGTTACTGAAATGAAAGAAAAGTAAGCATCTGATGTTTTTAATAGGTTTTTATTATATTTTAACAAGCCGATAAGCCATATGTCATTTTTAATAGTATATTATTAGCTTATATATATATTAAAGTCAATAGGATTGAAATATCTAGGTTGCACTAGAAAATTTTGTGTGATAGAGAGAGAGAGAGAGAGAGAGAGAGAGAGAGAGAGAGAGGAATTATTGCACCGAAACAGATAATATATACCATATACCGCCTACACACATCCAGGGGTAATACAAACAGTGTGAAATACAATGATTTTAATATAAACTATTCGCGGTACAGAAAGAAATCGTTAAGAAATTAGGCTGAAATCAAAGGCCTCAATAACCTAGTTTGTTTGGTTTATATGAACAGATTTATTCTCTATCTACCATTCGTATCCACACTGAATAAAGATAATGTTAAAGGAAGATATTCAAGGTCTATCCGCTACTGTAAAAGAGCAGATTGCGGAAAAATATTCCTCGAAACGGAAGTGTACAGATGTGATATTTGCGCCTTTGTGTCTTTTACTTCTTGGAATAGTGGTAAGTGGCAAATAGTTGGGAAGAAAAAAATTAAATACTCTTTCAAACTTGTCCTCTTCGTCGTCCTCCTCCTCCTTCTTATCACCATCATCATTGGCGTCGTAGTTGGCGTCGCCCCCTTCCATCTTAATCAAATATTTTCCTGTTGCAGATGTATCTTGAATATGTTGCTAGCACAGAAGGAAATACGCTAATGTTTACAAAAGGACAAGATAGCTTTGGAAATATTTGCGGTTTAAATAATAAGCAACGATTAAAACGATATCCAGAGTTGAAAAAGAACTCTATGTCGGGAATAAATCTCGAAGGCTACAAGTATGAGATGATTTTTTCGGACCCTGTGTGTTCATTGATTGATTGTTTTTCATTTTTCATTCCAGTAAACTTTATCAATATGATTTTCAACAAACTTTTCCGTCGTATTCAAAAATTAAAGGAGCGATGGTGTGCGTAAAGGAGTGCCCGCCTTCACTGTCCAGCGTTAGGAAGCACAAGAAGTTTGCTAAAAGCGGATCTGGATTGTGCAGATACGACATAAAAACTTCTGGGATCTTTAATGGAAAAGGATCGAAGGATACTTGTCCTCAATTACCAGTTGACGCAACGTAAAAATTTTGCCACATATTTCTTTTGCCTTTTTAACAATAAGACTTGCCATCATTCGATCAGATCCGAGAAATATAATAGGTGTTTTCCATTGAAGAGAAGTCCTAAGAAGTGCTCTAGTATTTCGTACGATGACTAACTGCAGGATGCTCTTGGCGATATTGTCCACAATTATATATCATTGTTTTACCTGTCGTTGATTGGCTTGGGTTCGTAAATAGTTGATATATAAATAACGATCTTTGAACTGTATTTGCTTTCGAAAGGTTTAACAATTTCACTCATGGCGTTTGTATTGTTTCTACCATCAATATTCTTTTACGTAATGACTGTTGTAATGGTGATTGCGATAGTCGGCTTACCCATATACTTCTGGTAATGTTGATAGGAGGAGGAGGAGGAGGAGGAGAGATACAATTGAGTTTATCTGAATTTTTCCAAAACAGGTACAGATATTCGGTGAGGGGAGGTTTATTAACTTTCATCAGTGCCATTACGTTGACAATATCCATGGCGATCTTTATGTTTTCCGCCTACTTTCTGTTTCACCAGATTAAAAAGGTTTTGATTTGGAATTTTATCCGATTGCCTCTTTTTATTTAGCGAATTGATTGTAATCTTTTCTTCCATCTTTCAAACTTCTTAGATAAAGAAATCATTTGAAGATTCTTCAAAAGTATTGAAAAAATTCCCACAACTACTCATCCTGTCGTGTTTTGTAAAGAAAATTAATTCAACATTGAAGATCAATATTTAATCAACTGATTTTCTCTTTCAGAGTTTCTTCGTCGTCTCTATATTGTTTATTAGACTGGCTTGTTTGTTTCTTCACCTACTTACTTCCGGTAGGAACAATCTAATTAGATTTACTTTTCCAATCAACTTTTCCTCTTGATCTTTTTCTTCTCTTTCTTGAATAGGAGTGCATTTGTTTGTTTGTTTGTTTGTTTAGGAGAGGCAAGTATAGGACGACACAATTTCGTATCTTTTAAATCTTCGGATAAGAATTTCTACCTGAGATATTTGGCAGTTTTCGTCTATATTTGGATATATAAATTCGTACTGGCCTGTCAGTATCTGATAGTATCCGGATCGATATCGTATTGGATATTGTCGAATAAAGACAACTATTCTTGGTGGTCAATAAAAACATCACCAATACTCTTATCATTAAAGAATTTAGCAAGGTACAACTTGGGAAGCGCCATCTTCGGTTCGTTTGTGATAAGTTTGGTGACGCTCTTCTTCCTCTGGTTGAGATTATTGCATATTATGTAATTGTTTATTGATTCTTTTCTTTTACTAAAATTTTGTTTTGCAGATTGAAACGTTACAGAATGTCTTGCTGTCTGTGCATTTTCAAGTGTTGTACAAAGTTTGCCGATAACGTTCTAAAAGTTTTCAGTAATACAGCCTATACTCTAGTTGGTAAGATTTTCCATTGACGTTGCGTCGAGTTGTATTCGTTACATTTATTTGAGCAGCTATGAGAGGGGAAAACTTGTATAAATCCGGAAAGAAAGGCGTTTCGTTACTATTCGACGAATCTTCATCATTCATTATCGCTCTTGGTACGCGTTATTACTTATTGGCCGCCGAATTATTACTTGGCTCCCTGGTTTTTGTTCTGGGATACGCGTTGCTCAACGTAAGCGGGAGGCGGCATCTTTCTTTTTTCTGTAAGAATTGAAAAATTTTTCACTTTTTTCAACAGTTTCAAGAAAGAATTTGCGAATGGCGACTTCCCTTGTTTATCATGTCTTTAATAACTTTTATAACGGCCTCTTCATTTCTGGAAAATTACGGCGTAAGCTATTTTCTATAGTAGTAGTAGTAGTTGTTGTTGTTGTTGTTATTGTTGTCATTGATCTTAGAGGTTAAACTACCGCAATTCTACATTTCAATAGGCTATTGTGGAAACTACCTACACTTGTTTACTCGTTATTGGTAACGATTTGAAGGGGGAGGAGGAAGAGAAGGAGGAGGAGGACAATCAGAAGAGTAATTCAAAAGACGGAAAAAAATCTAAAGTACGTAAAAGGAGAGGACACGGTTAATAATGAATAGAGTCACTTAAAAAACACGATTTTTGTCGACAGGTAGCGATGTCATTAGGCTTTATAAAAAGAAAGAATCCCATTAAAGCGGCCACTGGTAAATTGGGATCAATTTTTTCAGATTATGGTATTAAAGTTCCCGCCAGTGCCGTAATATGAAAATATTTTCAGATCTACGTTCAGCATACTATTTCAGCCTTTTGTAGTTTACAATGTTGTTGTATATAATGCTTTTGCTCTATAATTATGAATTACAAACAATATCTTGCTGCCATTCAAGCTGACTATTTTAAATGTATTGTTTGTTTGCTTCCTTTTACGTCACAATAAACAAAAAAGTGAAGTGTTTGTTGGCGAGATATAGTTTGGTAAAATTATTGAAGAAGGCTATCAGCTCGATTTCATTCTCATTCCACAATATGAATCAATGGGAGACAACCAACTGAAAGTGAAGGGCTAGAAAATACTACTATTTCAACATTCAACAGTCGATTTATGCATTTATACACACTACTAGTTTTGTGTAAAATCAACGTCATTTAAAGAATTGTAGGATAACCTAAAAATGGCCTCTTTCTCCTAAAAGAAACCGGTTAGCTGGTACGGTTACCTGGTAAATGGAATTTGCAGTATAAGACATACAACTCTTGCACTACGTTAAATTGTTGAAAATGATTAGATTGCTTGATGAAATTCAAATGAATTTTTACACAAAATACCTTTATTTCCCTTGAAACGGATTTTTCGTAGCAATAACCGATGTTTAAGTAAATGAATTGACTAAATGCATTAATGGGGAAATCTAGAATGAACGAATGAATAATGATCAAATAACTGAATGAATGAATGAATGAATGGATTAATTAGCGAATGAAAGTGACTATTTCAACAAGAAAACTGTTTCTTTTACTTTGTCAGATGTCTGCAAAACAAACCAAAAAAATAAGACATCTTTTCCATACGAGAAAGTCAAACACTAGGCCTAGTCATACTTCACACAAACATCAGTATTTGTTGTTTGTAAAAACAAACAAATATGGTTGAGATTAAAAGTTTCAATATGGGGAAATTTTACTCAACTGCATCCAAAAATTGTTTGCACAGAAGCAAAACATTAGCGTAATCGAGCAGCTTTCCAATAAATGTATATTCTATACATATTTTGAATAGGGAAAAAGTGTTCTTCTTTCTCTGTCTCTTTCCGTTGGGGAGTACTGAAATAAAGATACAATAGGCTTAGGAAAAGAAAAAGGCTATATTCCCAGATTTAGCAAAATCCGTCTGGCTTTAGAATTTTAACGCTTATTCCATTCAAAAGGCCGAAACAGAGATTGTAAGACGAACAAGTAAGAGATTGCGGTAGAGTATTTTATTTACTAAACAATTTAGAAGGTTATTGTCTTTCTAATATTTTCTATTGCAAAATGTTCATTTAGCACTACAAACACAGTGTTTGTAGCGTATCGAATGACCCAATCGCGAACCATTCGCCTCCATATTTTCCATTTTCAAACCAATTAGCAAAAATTAGTGTTATTATAATACAACATGATTAGTATTAGTCGTTGCTATTAGAGCTATAATATAGTAGTTACCATTCAGTTTTAACATTGAATTTTTGCTGTTTGATCATTTATAACGAACCTGAACGTTAAAGTCAAGTGTACAATTGGATATTCGGCTTGTAAGTATTGGTTTTTCCTAATTCATGCACTTGGTGCATAAGAAAGACAGAGAATAAGGAAGAGAAAGAGATAGACAGACTCTGACAGAGATAGTGAAATGGAGAAAGAAAGGGAAAAGAAATTAGATTAAAATTACATTATCTACTAAAAAGTTGGAAAATTCAATGAATGAATGATATAGAAAGAGTATATGTATATTTAGTTTTGTTTGTAATGTAATCGTCCAGAAGAATCACGCAATTGCAATAGTTCCAGTTTGTAGGAAAGTAAGCATTGTAAACTTTTAAAAGTTGCATTGTCGGCAATTTTTCAGGCAATTTACTAAATAACTCTTGAATGAACTCTTCAATATATATTGTTATTTATAGTTGACCGATCAGCTACTCATCATTTAAATGTTTTCATGACGTCATTGTTATGTATTTATGATACTCGTTTGGTTAGGGTTAGGTGAGAAAGAATGGAAAAAGAGAACAAGGTCTCCCTTAATCGATGTAGTCGAAAAATAGTTCAAATCATCTTGTATTTCTATGCAATATGAAAAGATTAAATCCTTGTCTAGCTAATTCTTGGAAATTGATGTTATACTTGAGTTTGAATGGCCTAAAAAAAAGAGAGAGAAAGAAAGAAAGAGAGAGAGCGGCAGGGTTAGAGAAAAAATGTCCTAGTTATAGTTTAAAGTGTTTATGCCATTCAAATTTTCGAACACGAATGTTTGATGCTATTTTTAGGATATCCTTTAGTATATGAAGGGCGAAGCGAAGACAGATGAGAACATGCCAGAGAACTGACACTCTCTCTTCATTTGCAGTTTGAAGAAATTTTTGGTCTGCTTCTGGAATTTTAGTATATTAAAAAAGAAAACTGAATTATGGGCGAGATATCAACGATGACGATGAATTATTGGATTTCGCATTTGAATTTGAAACCTCATCCGGAAGGCGGTTATTATTCGGAAGTTTATAGAAGTAAAGGTATCATACCGAGCACTTGTACTGAAGAAAAGTTTAAAGGAGATAGAAATTTCATAACTTCTATATATTTCTTGCTGTCGTACGACAACTTTTCAGCTTTTCATCGCCTAAAACAAGATGAAATTTGGAGTTTTCACGCCGGCTCGTCAATCTGCGTTCATATTATTGATGAAGACGGAAGTTATTCAAGGCAAACTGTTGGTTTGAAGTTGCACAAGGGCGAAACTCCACAATTTGTTATCAAAGCCGGTCAGTGGTTTTCTTACAATGTTGAGGAAAAGCATGGATTTACAGTTGTTGGTTGCGCAGTTTCACCAGGTTTCGACTTTGCCGATTTTGAATTGGGCATGAGGGAACAGCTTCTCGCCAAATATCCTCAGCATTCCGAAATTATTACCCGATTTACAAGACAATAAACAAACAATCAATTATTGAAATTAGCTTTTAAAATGTACTTTACGAAAACAGTTTTGTATATTTCAGTGTTCTGAATTTGCATATTGACTAACAAATTAATGAAATCATTTCAACGGTTTTGTATGTGTGAATCTGACAATAAAAAGAAATTGATTAAATGATATAATATTGAAAATTGTTGAATTTGTAAGAGACTAATTGGGGTCTTTTTCCATTAGATCTTAAGCAGAAGGTAGATAATTTTCCTAGGAGAACTAGGGAATACTTGCCCGTTTCGTTTATTTATTGACCAGAAAATTATGAGAGAAAATGAATGAATAGATTGATTGATTGAATGATTGAATGAATGATAGGTAGAAGAATGGCAGAGGTGAATGACACCATTTGGAACTCGATGTTTCATAAACATAAAAGAGTTATGACTTTGAAAGAGCTAAAATTTCAATAAAACTTTATCAAATAAAGAATATATTCTATACATATTTTGAATAGGGAAAAAGTAAAATACGTAAATTGTATCGAAAGTCCCTATTCAATAGATATTGCTATTTGCATAAGACAACGAATATATAACAAAATATTTCAAACAGAAGAAACTTTTCTCTCCCTCTCTCTCTTATTCTCTTTCTTAATTTTATAGTTTATATTACCAATCATATCTTGGAAACATTTTTATCTCGATGGAAGTTGAGCATTGGGTAATTTTAGTCAAATTAGATTTTTGATTTAGGGGAATCGAATGATTGAGATGGATGAAAAGCTTTTTAAAAAATTTATCTCCTTTATCCAGTGAAAGTAACATTTCCAAACAAACATAAAGTTTATTCAGGGTCACGTCAATGTCAAAACTTTCTACGAAGAGAGAAAGGGCGGTTAGCGGTTAGAAGTGCGAGAGAAAATTTTCAAACATTCAAAAGATAGAGCGTCGAATTGGTGGTTTTTTTTTACGAACTCTAGGCGAGCCACTCGGTATATTAATTGCTGAAATAGAAGGAAGAAGGAATTCACCTGAATTTCTTCGGTTTTTTCCATTTCAAACTCTATGAAAAGGATATCCTCAGCGAGAACTTTTCTACCACCAAGCTATTAAAGAAACATTCACCGGGGATTGGATCTTTTCCTTTTTTTTCCAACTGTTTGTTTCTCTCCTCAAACGGAATAGTTGATTTCTATTCCTTTCCGGTTTTTTTCTTTATAACGATTTCGTTTACGAATTAAATAGAGTACGAAAGTTGATAAAATAGCAAAATAGGTGAGAGGGATTATGTCAAATTTCCCAAAGGACTAAATTTCACAATGCCCTATGGGAAATATTTTCGTCATGGAAGAAACCAACATTGAATCCCTGAAGATGAGGACGGATCTAAGTATTTTACTCGTGTCTACAAGTTCACTTGTAAACAGATTGGGTCATAAACTTGAGTTCTTAAAGTTCGTCTGGCCTTTTATCAAATAGGCAATGCTAGCATTAACAACCGGACTCGATAAATAATGGAGTCAGGCTTGATCTCTAGTTGCACACTGTTTTATTTGGAAGAATGGTAAAGTTTGTTTTCCGATGTCTACTTGAATAAATTACTTTCTATAATCCAGTTTGTTATCTTGATGAATTGGCAATTCTACCATTATTAATCAACGCAAATGTATAGAGAAAAGAAATTCGAAAAAAGTACTGAATGTACCTTTAAAAAGTTCTTCTCTTAGATCGAGAACAGGATAAAAATGTGCTCTGCTTTTAAGAAATTTCTTTTCATTTTGGTCCTATTATTTGTGTACTTTGAATAGAATATCAACTATCCGACCATAGAATTACTAGTTATTACGCTCCACTTCACAGATAGGCTATGTTAACCGCTTTATTCTCAAATAGGAACACTTGAGTTTCTTCGAAAAATACTATGAGCCTATAAGATTGGAATTCCTTTCTTTTTGCCCTCTCTGCTGGCATATTTGTACTAAACTAGTCAAAGGAATGAATAAGCGAACGAACGAATGAGTGTTTGAATTACTTTTCAATTACTTTTTCTTCGTCATCCTTTCAGCTGTACAGATTGTCTGCATGTGAAAAAGATGGAGAATAGACATTCGTATATGAAATGCATTCAATGGGAATCTTGAATGTCATTTTATCAAGTTTAATAGAAAATTAACAGAATATTTGAAATTGAATGGGGAATAGAGAAGGAAATGGGGAATAAAAGTGTAGGGTTAGGGTTAGGGTTAGGTTAGGGTTAGGGCTATATAGGGAATAAAAGTGTATGACAGACTATTGAGATAGATTTTCATGCGTAGAGGACTTATTCACGCTTGCCCGTTGTGTGGTGGGCGCGTTGTTTAGTGTTCTAGTTCGGCCAACTAGGTGAAATATCTAAGTGTGTTTTACACCAGATAAGAGGGTGACAGGCGTTTCGCGACAGAATTCCTTTCGCCATAGTTGCATAAGATTAGATTAGAAAAAGAAAATGAGAGAGAGAATATGAGGTTTAAGAAAGGATAGATGATGAATGAAAGAAGCTGAAATTGCGAGTTGGGATGGGGAGAAGAATAAGTGAGACAAATTTCAAATTCAATTAGGTAAGGGAATATAATGTAAAAAGTTTACAAACAATGATATACGAAACGCTAAAAGCGTATAAAGCATTTATAAATTTCTTTATATAAAATGCAATTATAGTGGAACACGTACATTACATATTCACTTCTCACACTTTCTCCTATCAACATTTCTTTTACTTTTTCATTAGCCCTCTTCTCTTCTCTCTCTTCTTTCTTCGCCAAAAAATAGTTTTTTTCTTAAACCCCATTGTGAGCTTTTACAATGTTAGGCGAGGGTAATGAACTTGAATAGGTGAAAAAGAAAACTTTTAAATAGCTGTTGCACCAAAAGGGACAACGACGCAATCAGTTTAGTGACCCCATTTATACTAACCCAGCTCCAATTTAATTTATTTATAGTTGGCAGGTGTCATTTTTATCTAACAATTTCCGGTTACTTTTGATGACGCATAGCATTCAACTACATCTTCTAATCTACAGAATTAGTAGATTAATATATGCGCAATTACTGCAAAGCTGTAAACACTATTCGCACCGCTGTAATAATTACGTTAGGCTAATTAACTAGCAAAGGTTAATTAATTCACCTTTCCCTCCTGCCTATCTTCAACCTTTCCGTCTTTCTTTCTCTAAATCTTTTCCATCTGTAGAGAAAATACTCCTATTAAATCTTTGGGGCAAAGTTACAGAATAGGAGAAGAATAGGAAGGAGAGGAAATTTTAGAAGAGAGATAAAGCAAGCAAAGGGGTGGGTGAATTTAAAAAAAAAATAAAAAGAAAAAAAGAAAGAGGAGGAAGAAGAAGAAGAAGAAGACGGAAATTCGATAAGAAAGTCAATTATTTATTTACTTTTAAGTAAAGTTTTAATTGTTTCTTTAGCTTTTCTTTCGTACTTTTTTAACGCTTTTTTCTCTATTATCGAACATAAATGGAAATGTTGAGAAAAGAGAATGTAAAAAGAGAAAAAGCAGCAGAAAAGAAGGAAATGACTGTTTAAAGAGGGTAATGAAAAAATTATAAAAAGAGAGAGAAATCAACTGTTGATTGTAGGCCTGTTGAAGGGAATAAAGTAATTAATCATTTTTATTGTATATTCAGTATGCTGTATGTATATATTTTATACATATATATTGTATATACTGTATTCTATATAGGGAAAAAATCAAAAGGAGACTAGATTGGATAATTAAAGATAATTAATAATTGTTGAAAAGGAGAAAAGGGAACGTGGAAGGTTGAGTTTATTGAAAAAAAGACATGTCAAAAGTATTAAATCGCGGCAGTGGTAGAGAGAGAGAGAGAGAGAGAGAGAAAACGTCTGTTTTTTGATTAATTTTTCCTTTTTTTCTTTGTTTGTTTCATATCGTATCATTTTTATTGTAAAAGAGTCAATAGTGCGTTTGTAGGTTGCATGATATTCTTCTTCTTCCTTTGTTCACGCTTATTAAGGTGAACAAGAAAAAGGTAGATTGGCGGATAGACAAATTGAGAAAAGGCAAAAGAAAAGAGACAGAGAGAGGGGAAGAAAATAATCAACGCGATTAAAATACATTCTTCTCCGCATTTAGTCGTAGTTGGTGGTGTTTTTTAAATAAATTATTCAAATGTTTTTCAACCGAGAAACGCACATGTTAGAATGAAAGGCAATGGAATATAGTGTGCTAACCAAGTTGAACCTGCATTTCATGCCAGAGGCAATAATGGATCTAATTGGGAATTGTTGCTCTTCGATATACACTAGACAAAATAGAGTTTACCCTTTTCTGATAGAATGTAAACGTATTGACAAAACAAGCATTTCCATTTATTTAATTATTAATTTATTCATAATTTGTAATAGGACAATATTTGAGGAAAATAAAACCTTTAGCCTCGCTTCGCTCTCACCGCCTCAGCGTTAAATCTAGCAAGGGAATCTTTGCTAAAGGTAAAACGAGCTTAACCCAATCCAAATAATCGGCTAAAGGATTATTTGCAGAAGACGTTTGTTGGAAAATTATCCCGTTTAAATTATTACAATTACTCGATTCCCAGTCAGTCAGGTTAGAACACTGACAGTATTTTCAAAGTTGCGCAAAACAACCAAATTGCCTTCGCCTCCAATTCATCAATGTAGATGCAGATACTAGAATTTAATCTTTGCTGTTTACGACCGTATCTATGACTTTTGTATATATGATTAATAGAAGAAAAAGCGCTTAGCCGTTACAAGGTAGTTGCGGTAGTTGCAGAAAGGAATCGTCGGAATGGATGGTTGAATGAATGATTGAATGCATAGATATATATATATATATATATATATATTCAATATATTGGAATGAATAAATAAATGAGTTAATTAATTAAATAAAGGATTAATAAATTGATAAATTATTCATTAATTATCGCAAACAGTGTGTAAAAGTTTTTGAATATTTACCGTAGTACTTAATGCCCTACCAATAATCTATTTCCATTAATGGAGATTTTGGGAATTGTTCCCCTTACTCCCTTGACACATTTCTCCGTCGAGCTCTTACGTCTGCTAGGTGAGCTTTAGGGAAAAAACACTTTATAGCAGCAGGCTGTGGCCATTGCCGAATCATATCACTTTGATCTATCAAACAAAAAGTCAATTTTTGAGTCTAAAGAGTGGTGAAATGTTTGAAAAGGACAAACAAACGGTTGATTAATTAGTAAAAGATATTTATCTGTTGGTTATTTCTCTTCATTCTTCCCCTTAACACGTAGTTTGTACTTGGCTCGAGTTGATTGGCAAAGAATGAAAAGCCTTGGTGGCTATTTAAAGAAAATTAGACGGACAAAAATTCTACAAATTCAATGTTAAATTGATGTCGCAAAGAAGCGACAAAATAAGGATATAGATTATCTTTAATTTTTTCTTTCGGCATTCTTCTAATCAATCAACAGATCAAGCTACAAAAAAATTACAAATCTACGCTATAATGCTAAATCAATCGTCGATATATTTTTTCTCACCATTTCTCCTCCAACAACGGTGAAGAGGGAGGGCGGCGAAATTGAGCGAGAACAGAGGGCATGAATGAGCTAGAAGTAGAGGTAATGGTCAATGTAGAGGCAAATATACGGAGAGAAAGAGAGAGGGAAGGAGTGGGACGGAGAAAGAGAAAGAGAGGGAGAGAGAGAGAAGAGAAAGAAAGAGATAGAGAGAGAGTGAAAGAATAAAAGGTGACGAAAAAGTATCTAGGCTAAAAGTCAAATGAAAAGAATCTTAATAAATGATTGTATATGATAGGAAAAGAGTGAATTATAGCTGCATTTATTATTCATTCTTTATTTATTTTAACATCAATAGAATTAAAAGCAGATTGACGTCTACTTCTGCTTGAATTCAAAACGCCCCAACCAATTTACATGGAAATTACTTGTTCTATTCAAAGGCTTTTTTTTCACGGCCAGTTGACGATTTTGATGGCAAAATTAAAAAAATTATTGAATAGGCAAGCACGGAGCGCGAAAAGAACGTGCTAAAGTAGAGAGGGAAGCTGGAAAGTTGCGGAGAGAGAGAGGCGGGAGAAAATTTTCTATGAATGAATTAAAAATTGCCATCATGAAGAGAAATTATCAAGAGTAGGATAAGGGACTAACGAGGATGGTAATGATTACGATGAAGGCAATGTTGATTATTTAACGATTTTCAATAATTAAGGCAACATGATACAAATATTCAATAAAGAGGAGACCGTTCATATTTTATTTATTTATTTCTTTATTCATTCGTTGTATATGTAATTAATTTGGAAAGCAAGAGAATTGTCAGGAAGAGAAAGAATGGAAAGAAAGGAAGAGTGAATGAATGAATGAACGAATGATGTATACAGAAAGATGAGGGAGGCAGGGAAGGAGAGAGAGGGCGGGAGCGAGGAAGGAAGGAAGAGAAATAATAATTAGTTTTAAAAAAATAAAGAAAATTTTCCCCCAATATTTCTCATTATTTATTTTCCTTTGAGAGTGAAAAAAGAGGGAGAAAGGAGAAGAGGGAAGAGAACGATAGAGAATGGTTTATTATGAGTATATTGGAAAGAAAGAAAAAGTTTATTTTAACTTGATATTATTCACAGTTTACATACGGCATATATTACTTTTATTTTTTTCTTTTTTACTTTCTTTTAGGCTTCCCTTTCTCTCTTTCTCTCTCTCTCTCTCTTTTATACAACTTAATTAATATTCTATACAAACGTTTAACCGAAAAGGTTTTATTCAGAACGTATTGCGTAATTTATTCCATTTCTCTCTCTCTCTCTCTCCTTCAGTCACTCGTTGTTTCATGCTTTTTCTCTGATTCGCACCCTCGTTTCGGTTATTCTACCCTGATCCTGATTAAAATTTACGTTGTAGATGTAAAACTAAAAGCTACAAACAGTATTTCGTTGTATTGTTTGACAATTGAATAAATGTTTTATTGTCTGGTATATTACTGATAATATGTACAGTATATGTACAAAGAGAAAATACAGTATATGAGGAAGACATTGTGGTTTATTTTCCGAGATGATCGATTTGATGGTGACGATAACGATGACGACAATTGTGACCGTGGTAAACGTGGCTAAGACGATCAAGAATACCTCTAATACTACTAATAATACATATATAATATACAATAGATTTTATTATATGCTATCATTATCGTTAAGAGTTATATTTTCGATGTTGGTGACAACAGCGATTGCGTGTAGAAGGAAATGAGAGAGAGAGAGAAAAAGATATTAAAAAGTTTAATAAATTCCTACAAGAATGGAAGGAGGTAAGAGATATGAAACGGAAGAAAATGTACTGTAATATTATTACTTATACATTATATTGTATATAATATATGCAGAGACGTATATATATTTATATGTACAGTATACAGTATTTATATATATGATATATAAACATACACTTATATAGATGATATCGAAAACAACTGAAAGAAATGAATATACAGTGTAACATAGGAAAGGGAAAAAAAACCGACAGAAAGATACATCAAGACTGAATACAGTATATGAATGAATGAATGAATGAATGAATGAACGAATGAACGAATGAACGCGATCAGGAAAAGAAAAGTAAATAATCAAGAACAAGAAACAGAAATATTAAGGCATGGGAAAAGGGTTAGGGAGGGAGACAGGGAGGCAGGGTGGGAAAAAAAGGTTTTAGGAAAAAATGGTTGTTAAAGATTAAAAGGTTCAATGCCTTATCCTTCCGACATGTGAGGCTTTTTTATAACAGCCCAACAGTTTTTGAAAAGCTTTTCTAAAGTCATCATTAAAAATGGTATACAACACCGGGTTCATGCTCGAATTAGCATAACCTAACCAGAAAAAGAAAGAGTCGATAATTCTAGGAATCGGGCAATTAGGACACCAAGATTTGACGACGTAGATGACGAAAAATCCTAACCAACAGCCGCAAAAACAGGCAATGATGATAGCCATTCGAATTGTTGCTCTAACTTCCTTCTGATCGTAGCGTTTCTTTTCGGAAGGTCTGTGCTTTCCTTTGCTACTTTTGAAGGGGTTAGACAGTTTTAAATTGGAAAAGAGTAATTTAGGCTTCGTTTGGTTGTTATCCGAATGATTAGGGTTCAGCATAACGAGAGAATCATCAGTTTGAGTTTGGTCTTTCATGCCGTTGCGGGCGTCGGTTTCCGAGCTACTCGGAACGGCTGTGCTGGAGACCCTTAAATGCGTAAATTCCATATCCTGACTATCGCTACTCGCTTCTTTCTTACCATCCATAGTTTCTAATTCAATTTTTGGAGGTTTAATCATAGCACTTTGTTCCTTCGCTCTTCTCTTTAGGCCTATTTTAATTGGTAAGTTGTCGTTAACAATTGAAAGAGATATATATATATATATATGTTTGTTTATCATTATTGTTATTATTATTATTTCGATAGAGTTGAATAAAATATTTATGACGATCGGATAAAAGAATATTTCAAGTGGTAAAATATATCTTGCACGTTGTAAAACTTGAGAGAGAGAGAGAGAGAGAGAGAGAGACAGAGAGAAAGAGACAGAAAAGAGAAATAGTTTAGAAAGGCCAATTGAAAAATTTGGTGAAAAAGTACACGTTTAGAGAAACTAAAAAAGAAACAGGTTAATTAATCTATTTACATATTTTTTCTGTTTCCTTATTGTTTCTCTCTGTTTTTATGTTCTAATTAACTTTTCTTAGAACAAAGAATGTTAAATAGGTGGGAGGGAAGAAGGGACTGATGGGCGGACCAACATGGTCAATATACAAAGGGTGATCCCTTTTTTTTGTGGTTTTCTCATCACTCTTAATATTTTTATTGCTATTTTTAATATTATCGCTATTATTCTTTGATCCGATCTAGTCGCACCTTCTCTTGCAGCCTTCATCTTTTTCATTCTCTTTCTTAGCACCATAAAGATGCGAATATAGAGGAAAACAGTTATTAGGAAAGGAATAAAGAATGAACCGGAAGCTGAGTATAATACATAGCTTTGAGTATCAAATAGTTCGCATGTGTAAACATTTTTGTCAGTCTGATATTTGTAATTAGCAGATATGTTCTGCCAGCCGAGAAGTGCAGGTACTGATATAGATATGGATAAGAGCCATACGGTTGTTATGTAAATAGCAGCCTGTTTTGTATTCCGTTTTTCCCTATACCAAACTGGATAGAGTGTTGCTGTATAACGATCAAGTCCAATAAAAGCGAGATTCCAGATCGATGCTGTACAGTATAAAACATCTGCAGTCAACCAGAAATTGCAGAGTATGCTACCAACGATCCAATAGCCTAGGACTTCGTTCAAGGCCGAAAAGGGCAAAATTGTAACCGCCAAGAGAAAGTCGCTTAAAGCCAAATTTCCAATAAGATAATTAGAAATAGTTCGTAGAGACCTGCGTAGTGCATTCTTATTATTCTTTTCGTTTGTTTATTTGTTTGTTTGCTTGTTTGTTGGTGTTGGTTATTTTATGCTATTATTACTATCATTACTATTATCTTTATTATTATTATCATTACAGCAAAAAACAGGTTTGTTTTTTGTTTTTTTTCTCTCTTTTTCAGTTGTTGTTTGGGTTAAATTCAAAAGATGATTGATTGAAAGGGAAAGAGGTGAAAGGGGAACAAAAAGGGGAGGGGGAAAGGTTAGCAAAAAAAGGAATGGAAAAATAGCGGACCGTCTTTTTTATCATAATTCACTTTATCAAGTCGATATTGTCGAATAGAATGGGATTTAATAAGGTAGAAAAAAAATGAGATAACGAGGGATAAATGGAGAATAAAAAGGATTTTTATGACAGGTAGAGAAGGATGAAGGAGAGAGGTAGGTAGAAAAATATGTATAGATGGATGAATGGATGATGGAGGAGAAATGGGAAGGAGGGAGGGGGAGAGAGGGAGGGAGGGAGGGAGGGATAGATGGACGGATGGATGGATGGATGGATGACTGGATGGATGAATGGATGGCTGGATGGACGGATAGATGGATTGTTGATTGATTGATTGATTGGTTGGTTGGTTGGTTGGTTGGTTGGTTAATTAGTTGATTACCTAGTGATTAGGAGATCAGGAAGGTACGCAGGTGATGGAAAAGGTGAATGGTCAAGTGGGAATCAAGTAAGGAAAAGAGGATGAAAAAACAACTTTCGAAGGGTAAAATGATAAAGCTTCGGCCATAAGAGAAAGAGAGAAAAAAGTTTATAAATAACAAAATTTACCTGAATTTGAATAGGGCAACGGCCACTAATGCATTACCAAATGCAGTTCCAATAACCATTAAAAATAAAACAACTGCAACAACTATCATTTCCGGTAGTTTATAATTGATGGAAATTGAATGACTCTCTTCCACCTTAAAATTGATCGTGACATTTTCCAAATCGGTCAAATTAGTAATATTTGTAATATTCATCTTTCTTATCTGTTGATCCGCTGCTGGAAAAAGGCGGATTAGACGCTAATCTCTCCCATTCGGATCTGTAGAGGCAAAAGAAATGTGTTTGGATTGATTAGTGAAACGGTTGGGCGTTTAAATAAATATGAAATGACAAAGGCAAGAAGAAATATGATTGCATAAGTTCGGCCCAGTGACTCTTGAGTCAACCGCATTCTCAGTTAAGATTATCGCTTGAGGGGAAAAGAGTAAAATGTGTCCTTTTATAGCTACAACACAGCAATAGTTAAGCATCGATGTTTTCGGGCCAAGCAGTTCAATATCAAAGACAAACAAGCTGTAGACGTGTTTGTTTACACGTACTATACACAGTATAGAGTGTATTTTTTTCTTATATAATCTATAAATTATAGATATATATGTGTATTTATATTTATATATATATTTACAGTTAAGAAATCAAAAGGTTATATGCATTCCACTCTTTTTTCTAGCTGGCTAGTTGGCTAGCGAGTTAACTAACTGGTGAAGATTTTCCCTCTCTCGGTCTTTCTGGCGGTCCGTTGTTTTATTTAACTATCTCTCTCTCTCTCTCTCTCTCTCTCTCGCTTTCCTTCTTCCGCTTAAACGTACATACATAAACGAAATATTCATGCATCGTTAATACATAAACATACTTTACGATATTCGGTAGATTATCACGATGAAGAGAAAACAAAGATGCAATAAAGGAATGGTCGGCGTTTACTTTTAAATGAGGCATAAGACCGCTGTAGATAGACCGACCTACGTCGGAATTGACTGTAACAGTACAAGTAAAAGATCCATGAGGAAGAGAGGCCCGGGTTCCTTTATATTGAAAGATATGATATGAGATAAGAACGCCTCCTATCCTATCCAGTCGTCATGATGGCCGCCTGTGCTGTATAGGTGCCTGCGCGCGTAATAAATTACAATATACGTACGTATATTAGAGTAGGTAGTAAAATCTATTTATAGAAAAGTACGTTATTTGGAAATATGTGTTGGAATACGAATTTGTTAAGAATGTAAAAATGCATTTCGCCGTGTACATAGTTTGTATTTACCAATAGAAGCTAATAATATACTGTGCATATTTCTATATTGACATGAATAGATGTTCAAACTGATGGGATGGTTGGCGAGTGAAGGCAAAAGTGAGTGAGAGGAAGAGAAAGGCAGACAAACAGACAAATAGATAGACGGAGAAAAGTTTTCACCGTGATAAATTAAGTGTTATAAGTGAACTCGTGAACTTTTATGGATTAGTATAGAATGTTTAATTTTATGTATTTACATGATAAACTTTGTAAATGTATAGCGGCTGCTCTCTTTAAACACGTTTACAAATACATAGCTTTGTCTGTCTATCCTCCTCATCTTTCTCAATTCCCCTCGCCAGCTCTGTCTTTCTTTTTTCACTCTCCTCCTCCTTCACCTATCTATCTATCAATCTATCTTTCTTCATTCTTTCTTTTCTCTATCTTTCTTTCCAATTCTTAATCTCTCTTTCATTCATTCACTCACTCACTCACTCGCTCACTTACTCGGTTACTTACTAACTTACTTTCTCAGTTTTCCTTTCCTAGTTTTTTTCTTTCTCAATGTTTTCTCTCTCTCTCTCTCTCTCTCTCTCGTTTTCATTCTCTCTCCCCTCCCCCCTCCCCTCCTCACTCACTCGCTAGTACAACACTACTACATACACGTGAAAACTTTCAAGGGTAATTTTATATTCCTTCACTCACAATCCATCAATGGGTTTGGGATCGACGAAGAAAAGGGGAACGTTATTTTTTTGTATATCAAGTATTTCGACGTTTGCTTTACGACTGAAAGATTAACGGATTACAGATTTTCCTTTCATCCTTCTCTTCTTTAATCAATTACAAAACAAAAAGAACACTATAAGCGTTTTCTTTGCTTGTGTGTTTTTTTATCCTATTTTTCTTCTTTGGTCTTTTCATTTTTTTGTTTTTTTTTTCCATTTTCCTCCTTTTGTACCGTTTTATCGTTACAGTCATCTACTAACCCTTTGAACTTTCTAGGAAATCTTTGAAATATTTCTTATTTCTCTTTCTTCTCTTTTCTTTTGTATTCTTGGTTTATAATTTTCGGTAGGTTGAGTAATTCCCTTATTGTTTCTAGTAATTCACTGCCCCTTCCCTCCTTTCCGACGTTTGTTACTGTTAATGTTACAGTTGGCATTTTTCAACAAAAGAAAGATGGCGCTGTGAAAAGTTGAATTGAAAGAGAATGGAATGGAAAAAAAACTTGTCAATAGTTAATTTTTTTCCTTTTTGGTCGTTATTATTTCGTCATACGTATAGAAACGTCGGAATAAAAGATGAAAATGAATTTGAGGAGAGGTTTCATAAAATGGCCACCCAAGGGAAAATCTCATTAGGCAAATGAGCATATTATAAATTGTCAGATTTTTTTTCCCTAAATTATACCGTCTAAATATGTCAAACTATAGCGTATCGTTGCTATTATTTAGACGTATGTAAAACGTGTTTTGTACGTCGTTTTTTTTAATTGTGCATCTAAACATTTTTGCGATTCTTCCTATCTTCCTCTCTCTTTTCCAGCTATGTATCTATTTAACTCTCTCTCTCTCTCTCTCCGTCTCTGTATACTCGATAAAAAGGACAGAGTGGAGAGTGGGAATAAAGAGGTTTTTACTTATTCTTTCTCTTCGACGCTTAATAGGAAAGAATTGGTAAAAGATGGAAAAACATAAAATGACCGGCCAACGTATCGATTTCACACAACGCATTTACTGGAAATGATTTTTTCCCCCATTTCCATCTGCTGGAAAAGTTTGTTATCTTGCTAAATTGTGATAGCGAGAAATGGGAGAGAGAGAGAGAGAGAGAGAGAGAGAGAGAGAGAGAAAGAGAGAGAGAAAGAGAGAAAGAGAGAAAGGAAAAATAAAAGAGAAAATAGAGATAAAGGATAAAAAATTGAAATTGTATGATTATGACCATTTGTCGGATGTTTGTCGTAATGATCGACAAAGTTAGAAGTGATAATATTACGTAATATTACACAATTATCATGAAATTGGAGACAAGTTGATGACATTTTTGTAACTAATCAAATCCGTTGCAGCGTAAAGAATTTGGCTTTGTGTATACAGTAATAGCGGGGAGGCGTGACATTTCATAAAGGTGCTGAAGAAGAAATGAGTTTTCGCGGTTCTTTTAAACGAAAATCACGCGATCCTCGTCTTTTTATGTTTTCAATTGTAATTCGATCAACGCTTTGAATGGGCCTAGTTGTTTTCCATCGTCAGGCGAGACGAAATCCTATTTAACAGTTGTTATCCGTACGCTCCGTCTGCAAACAGTCGCAGGGATATCGAACACGTTTGCTAATACTAATAGTATTTTTCTTCGAATAGTCTCTGTCAACCTATACAAACTGCATCGTGACTCTATTCCTTCCGCCTCGAAGGGGAAATAAGGATAAGAAAGCTATAGCATGGATACTTTTGATGCGAAACGGAACGAAAAAAAAGGATAAACAACGAAGGGCGAAGACAGGGAGGAGATGAAGCAAATAACGACGATGATGACGGTGGCGTTGATGCTGATCAGATGTCTATGATATAGACGAAAGTGAAGGAAAATAAACGGTGAAAATAATAAGGATATGAGGAAAAGTAGAGAATTGGGAAGAGACTACAATAATCTAGAGGCGAAATTAATCGGAAAGGCAATAAGTCGTGTATGAGTTCAGTGCAAAATCTACAAAATCGGTCGTTTATAGACTCTTCTTCCTATTCCTACGTGCCAAATTATGAAGAGTTATGGAAAATGAATAAAAGACTGGAAAGAGTCCGCAGGCCGCTTGAGATAAATCAACCGCAACAGAATGGATATTCGTTCAAGGAATTTATGGTCGGATATAGGTCGTAATTTATATTAATTTTATCCCTTTTGCGGCAGTAATATGTTGTTTGTACTGCATCTCTGGTGAGGCTCAATTCCACATTGAATTTGCAGTAGATTTGTGAGTAAATAACTGTAAATTTTGCATAAGATGAAAGTGTAGAAGAAGGAGAAGAAGAGGAAGAGGAGGTCGGGTAATAGACGAGTTGTACGGATGAATGAATGAATTGAAGGATATAGGCATATTGACTTTTTGCTAACATACTATGTATATTGTTTGCAGTACACTTTGCGGAAAACACGTAGGATATTAATTTAATAAATGGAAATATTTACGATGATTTTTTAATCAATAAAAATAAACCTCACTCGACTCTTAAACTATATAGAGGATGACGGGAGAGTTTGGAGGAGGAGTAGGGGGAGGAGGGGGAGGAGGGGGAGGGAAGATACAATGAAAAAACACATTATATATATATGTACAATACTGCAATATCCTGTAATACGTTTAAATGGATTTTAGACGTTCCATGTACAAATAAGACGGCCGATCAATTATTGGTCGTTTTCTGAATCGGGCGAGAAATTTCTCCATCGTTAAAAGTAATTAGATCCGCAACCACTAGGAATCGATAAGAAGGAGAAAGACAGTCCAGAATCAATATAAAGAAAAGGAAACACAAACAGAAAGCTTCTAAGAGAAGAGATGACAAATTAGGCCTAAGAAAATTAAACAGAAACAACATGCTCTGAGCAGACGCTCGCCGAAGCGCGAGAAAATGCCATGTAACAGCCTGGTTTTTTGCCTAAGGTTCAGCCTATTTCCACCATAGGCTAATTGCAGCCTATAACCAACTTCATTAGATCTAATACGTTCTCTAAATTGGAAACGACGTAATGAACCTGGACTGGGTTGACTCAACTTTTTTAATTGAATCTTTTTGCTTCCTTCGCCTAAACCTCTGTCATTTCCATTTAGCCAATTGGATTCTGCTAAAGAGGAAACGGCAGAGAATGAAGCGCGACGGACGATGGAAGAGAGGAGGTGGGAGGGAAGGAGGGAGGAAGGCAATCGATTTCCCTCCCTACTCTTTTCTTTGAATAATGTCCTCTTTTAGCTTTCCCTTTCAATACAGCTACTCTGGAATTCCCCGTTTGTTTACCTATAACGAGTTTATTGTACAATGTCCGATACGGATTTCCGGTGCAATTTTATAGCCGATGAGTTTTTCAGCTTGGCGTTTTTACATCAATGGAATTGCGTAATTGGGTAATTTTTTCCCACCTAATGGAGGCAGCGATGGGTGCGCACGTCGAGCACGAAAATAGATAAACAAATAAAAACTACGTGTAAAATTGATGACAAAAGAAAACTAGCGATGTTTACATAGTTTATGCAGGTGGGTAAATATTTCTTCTCTATGTCCGCTATTCTTTCTTACTTTGCTCAGTTACTGTCTTGCTGTCTCTGTCTCGGTTTGTTTGCCTCTGCCTCTCTCTCTCTTTCCCGATGGTTTTTGCAAGTATTACAATAGGCCTATTTACAATGCTTGATACAAACTGCTGTAAAGAGGTTGAATATCGTATGTATCCTATAATTGACTAGTACTTTGAAAAATAAATAATTCAATCATCTTCTAATTAATCGATCAAGTAAGAATCGACCGTGCAATGTCGAAAAAAATAAGACGTGACCGTCTAAATGATTCGGCAGAAGAATGGATAGCTGGGATAGAGAGCGAGAGGGGAGAAGGAGAGAGAGAGAGAGAGAGAGAGAGAGAGAGAGAGAGAGAGAGAGAGAGAGAGGGAGAGAAACAGACAGACAGAGAGAGAGAGAGAGAGAGACAGATAGACAGATAGACAGACAGACAGACGGACGGAGAGAATGAGAGAAGAGGAAAGAAAGAAAGAAAGAAAGAAGGAGTGAGAGAGAAACAATATGAAAGAATGAGATACAGGAGCAAAATTGAATAGATGATAAAATAGTAAATTAAGATGAAAAAAGAAGGAAAATGGAAAACATTTGGCAAGGGCTGAACTAGCAATAAAGGCGCTAAACGAGACTGTAGAGGGGATATAGGGGCAATTGGCGATTTGGCAGGAGGAGGAGAGTGAAGGTGGAAGTGAGGGGGAGGGAGAGGAGCAAGAAGAGGAAGAGGAAGAGGAAAAGGGATAGGAAAAGAGACGACTAATGAGGAAAGAAAGAGAGGAAAAGTGAAATGGGCTGCATGACGAACAAGTGAAAAATGAATGAATAAAGGAAAAAGAACAAAAGAAAAAAGATTTAAACGCCTAAAAACATGTGCTATTTCTCCCAAACAAATCCGACCAATAAAATAAACAAAACAGTATAATATATATACAAGGAATAAACAATTTGATGCCATATTTACTGTTTCTTGATAGCATTACTTACTTAAGTCAAAGGGAAAGTAATAAATCCCTTAAATATTTCTTCTCTAATTCTAATCTTAAGAAACATGTTTTGCAGAGCTTCTTATCCACTCTCCATATCGGTTACTGATCAACTGCAATTTTATGTTGCCTTTTATTGCTCTATAGGCTTGATGAGAATTTCATTACTAAATTCGAAGGCCTATAATTTTCGCACACACTCTTTAGCCTGTGGATGGGGGAATATCTGATGGAATTTCAACTTCTTTCCACCCATAAAAAACTCGTTAGCCTTTCCCCCTTTCTTTCTCTTTTCCTCTTAATATCTCTTTCTCTCTCTTTC